GGCGCCCCCTTCACTCGTTTTGTGACTCGTTTCTGGAAGTGCAGAATCAGTGCCTTGTGGGACTCCGGGGGGGCATTTGGAAGACAGCGCTTACAGCGTGGGGATGAGACTGGGTCAGTTAAAGCAGATGTGGAGGTGCTATGACTTGATCTGCCCCAGAGAGATATGTACTTCTTTCCCCCATTCCAACTATGACCTCTCTTCTTCCAAAGCAGGATTGGTTGCCGTGGGCCCTGCTGCTTCTCTCTCTCACGCGTGATACACGCGCCTTCTATGTCCCTGGGGTTGCACCAATCAACTTCCACCAGAACGACCCCGTAGAAATCAAGGTAGGTGCAATGCCGGACTGTGGGAGCCTCTGTGCGGGGCAGCCTGTCTGGAGGACCCTGGTGAGATGGTCCTGTCCGTCCTGCACTTGCAGAGAACAAAAGCCAGTGCCAGTTACCGTGGCAAAAAGCAGGTTTGCTGCCTGCTGCGTGGCTGGAAGGGGAGTGCCTCCGGGAACCCACAGTTCTAGCAGCTCTGCCTCTTCATATCTCTCTCTCCCCCTCTGCGGCTTTGCCTGTACGCGTGTCTTCTCGCTGTGTCCCTCTCCTCCTCTTCAGCTCTCTCTCTGGCTCTGGTTCTGGTTCTTTCCATGGCTCTGTTTCTCACTGTCACCCTCATGCGTGCCTCGGTTTCTAGGTGTGTGCGTGTCTGTCTGTCTGTCTCTCTCAGCCTGCCTCCCTGTTTCATTGGCTCCATCCTCCTCTCTGTTGCCAGCTTCTCTCCACATGACTCAGCTTGTCTGCACATACACAGCCTGTTACGGCCTCTGTGTTTTCACTTGCAGCTTCTGCCACCAGCTGGATTCTTTAGTTCGGGTTTTCCAAACTGCGTCTGGCCTGTCTGAGTGGTGGTATATGAGATGATCTTAAGGAGTTGACAAATGTATTTTATTTTAATACCTATGTTGTTTTAATATATATTAAGAAATATAGCTGCTACTTCAACTCATGATTTTATGGCTGTTGTTGGTTTTCCTTTTTTTTTTTATTTTAAAGATTTTTATTTATTTGACAGAGAGAGAGAGAGCACAAGTAGGTAGAGCGGCAGACAGAGGGAGAGGGAGAAGCAGGCTCTCCGCTGAGCGGGGAGCCCGATGCGGGGCTCGATCCCAGGACCCTGGGGTCATGACCTGAGCCGAAGGCAGCCGCTTAACCGATTGAGCCACCCAGGCGCCCCTGGTTTTCCATTTTTAATAGTGATGTAGTATTAGCTCCTTAAATAAATGTATTTCTCTAAAAATGAGTCAGATTCAAATAAATAGTAGAATCAATGGTAAGTAGATGAGGCAAATTGGTGCATGAACGATTCAAGTCTAGAGAGAAGCCATCCAACCAGGCACCTTTGCTTTTCAAGCTAGATGCCCACTGTGGGTCAATCAACTGGCAAAGGTGGGGAGGGAGTCACTTAAAATATGGTTGATCGGGGGCAGTGGGTAGGCTGGCATGTTGATTAATGGCTCTTTAGCAGCGCACTGTGTTGGTGGCCTTCTCAGAGCCCCAAGCAGGGGTAGGGGTTGGTGGTGGATCTTCTTGGATCTGGTTTCCCAGGGCACAAACTCCAAGGTGGAGATATGGTGCAGTTTGCCTGGATAAGCTCTCAGGGTCAGCACTTGGGAGGGAGTGAGGGAAGCAGGACAGGGCAGAGGGAGACACTGAGCCGTGGTACAACAGAGGCCTGTGGGAAGCTCTAGAACTGGAATGCCTGGCCCTTTGGAGTTGTTCCAGATTGAAGCAAGAGGACTGGTTCTCTGTATCCCTCCATGAAACAGTCATTGGATATAGACTACCACCAGGGTAGGGGCGTAACCTTGTACAAGGGCTCCCAGCCGAAGGGACTCTCCTCTGTCATCAGCCAAATATAACCACTTTTAATACTTTGGTATTTTTCTGGGTTGTTTTTTTTTTTCTGTGCAGTGTTTACAGTGTAGGACACTTGGCATTCTCTCACCTCCGTAAATCCCCAACTACTTGACTACCACACTGTTCCTCCCTTAGCAAAGTAATGTGTAGTTGAAATTTTTAAGTAGTCCTTCAGACCCTTAGTGATTGTGTAAAAAGGGCTAACAAAACTTACAAGGTTATGAAAATAAATTCTGTTCCTAAAATAAACATACATTTCTTGCCTCCTTTTTGTGTTGAACCACATCTTAACTGGTCTGTGCAAAAGCAAAGCAGTAAGATTGTGTGAAAATCAAGTGTTTATCTTTTCCTGAGCATCACAGCAGAAGACAGGGTCACAAAGGACAGGATGTGCCATCATGTACATGCCCCTTTGTTTGCCATCACATTTTAGGTATTAGTGAAATTGCAGATTGCTACATGTCATGCTTATTTGAGGCATCACATACAAGCAACTTGTGATTATCCAGGGGGAATTAACCAGTTAAGAGGATAAATATGTAAATAATACATTTGTTTAAAAAGAAAATGAAAACTACTAGGAATCAAGTTCTAAAAGAGCTAGGATCTTCTCTGTCCCAATTATTGCTGTTACGAGCTCCTAATACATAGCCTGGCAAGGTGGATAAATATGTCTGATGAATGGCTATTAAAAAGCATCTGCATTTAGGGGTGCCTGGATGGCTCTGATGGCTGAGTATCCAACTCTTGATTTTGGCTGAGGTCATGATCTCAGGTCGTGGAATCGAGCCCTGTGTTGGGCTCTGCGCTCAGTGTGGTCTGCTTCAGATTCTTTCTCCCTCTCCCTCTGCCCCTCCCCTTGCTCACTCTAAATAAATAAATAATATGTATAATTAAATAAAATCTTTTTTAAAAAGTTCATTTAGAACTAAGCAGTAATTAATGAGTAAACGCAACCTTACATGTGTTGCATTATTGTGAGCATATTTCTTCCTCCCAAGTCAGACTTGTAACTTTCAGGAAGAGTAATTAAAGTAACATTTATTGAGGGTTATTTACATACCAGGCATTATGGGTGAGTGACTTAACTCAGATGCCCCCCAAGAACGCTCTGAAGCAGATACTGTATATTTTACAGAGTTACTGTATATTTTACAGAGTTACTGTATATTTCACAGGTATGGAAACCAAGGCCCAGGGAAGTAAACCACCTTGCCCAAGGTCATGTGGTGAGGAAGACATAGGGTTACTCCTTAACTACTCCATCTCTTACCCACCGCAGTACCCTTCTTCCCAGTGCTTCTGCCAAAAGCCCCCTCCAGAGCAAAGCTTGTGGCCCAGGGAGGAGAGGGTGTCTCTGGCTTCCAGGCCTGACAGGCTGGGGGTGTGAGAGGGTACACTTTAGGGAGGGAGGGGCGGGAGGGGTGGAGGGAACATAAAGGTGGGACTCAATCTCTGTAACGTGGACTCTTTTTTGATTATTCAGAAAGAGAGAATGTAAGAAACACAAAATAACAGGCTGTTATAATAGACAGTAACTTTTTGGCCATTTCGGCTCAAGCAGTTTATGAAATGCTTAATAGTATTAAGTCCCTTAGTCCAACATCTAAAAACCTCTGAAACCCAGTTTTCTAGGCTCTCATAGACGAGCCTTGGCCTGAAGTGTTTGACTTTATTTATCCCACTTAGAATGAATATTTTTGCATTTCTTTGCGCAAATAGTCATTAAATATGGGGTACTGCCCCAGATCCAGCTGGGGGGGTGTTGTCCATACTGCCCTTTTAAAACCAAAATAATTCCTAATTCCAAAATATGAGTTTTCTTTCTTTCTTTCTTTCCATCTTTCTTTCTTTCTTTCTTTTAAAGATTTTTTTAATTTATTTTTCGACAGAGAGAGACACAGCAAGAGAGGGAACACAAGCCGGGGGGCGTGGGGGAGGGAGAAGCAGACTCCCCGCTGAGCAGGGAGCATGATGTGGGGCTCGATCCCAGGACCCTGGGATCAGGACCTGAGCCGAAGGCAGACACTTAATGACTGAGCCACCCAGGCGCCCCCAAATTATGAGTTTTAAATAAGAATTGTGGACCTGGATTCTAAAAATTATTTACACTTTTTTAGATGGTGCATAGGAATGGTTGGTAGTTTCTAAATAGCCAAGATAATTTTATTTGCATGTGGATCAGAATTTATTTTTTGTAGCATTTTGATTAGTTCTGTTTATCTATGGTTTGGCATTGCCTATGACCGTCACTGTTTCCAGAGCTATATTCTGTGTGCGCGCATCACTTCCTAAACATTTTCCTTCATGGTCTTTTTTTTAAAGATTTTATTTATTTATTTGACAGATAGAGACATAGTGAGAGAGGGAACACAAGCAGGGGGAGTGGGAGAGGGAGAAGCAGGCTTCCCGCGGAGCAGGGAGCCCGACGCGGGGCTTGATGCCAGGACCCTGGGATCATGACCTGAGCTGAAGGCTGATGCTTAATGACTGAGCCACCCAGGCACCCCTCCTTCATGGTGTTCTTAAACCTTGTTTTTAATGGTTGCATCATATTTCATTGAATGTGAGTATATTATGATTTATTGACAAGTTTCCCATTGTGGGGGCTTGTACTTGTTTTCCCATTTTTCCTGTCTTCCGTCACTCAGCAAACATTTAATGAGCACTGCTGTGTGCCTGGCTCTGTAGGTCCTTGTCCTCATGGAGCCTAACTCTTAAATTCTAGGAGGAGACTGATTTTTTTTTTTAAACAACAGGTAAACAAAATAATTATGTTTTATCAGACATGTTACCTAGGAAACTGCGCATGTTGGAATAGAGCAAATGGGGGGATGCCCTTAGCTGAGCTAGTTAAGGGGGACTTCCAGGTGAGGGGCCGTAAACTGGGACCTGAGTGTGCGAAGGAGCCGGACAGGCATGGAGTCAGGTGGGGAGGGGCAGCAGGTGCAGAGCCTGAGGTGGGAGAGAGCTGGACGGGCTCGAGGAACTGCAAGCAGGAGAGCACTGTGGTTATGAGTAAGAAGTGAACCTCCTTGTTCCTAAGGTTTATTCTCATTTGGAGTTATTTCCTTAGGAAAGATGCCCAGAAGTGAAATTATAGGGTCAAAGGATACCAGACTCTCAGTATGTATTAAATTTGGTAATTATTTTAAACAAGATCTATAATATAGTCTAAAACTAAATGAAACATGAAATCACTCAGAATTGTAGACCGTATAGTACCCAGTGTACCGCAGCTGTGACGTGCTGCAGTGAGTTGCTAATGTACCAGTGTGTGTGGGTACGGGGCGCGGGGCGTAGATTATTGAAACAGCCGTCTGGGTTTCTGGGTTGATGAGCAACAGCCTCTCTTCTCCCACTAGGCTGTGAAGCTGACCAGCTCTCGAACCCAGCTACCTTATGAATACTACTCGCTGCCCTTCTGCCAGCCCAGCAAAATAACCTACAAGGCAGAGAATCTGGGTAAGTTCTCTCTCACTGTCAGCCTGTCCCGGAGGGGAGGCCGAATCTTCACGTGGCGATGGTAGCAGTTAACCCTGACGTTGCTGTGTGCTGCGCACCGTTCTACATAGTTTACATACATAGCGGCTTATTCAAGCCTCATAACAGCCCTGGGGAGGCAGTTGCCATATTTATGCCCATTCGACAGGTGCAGTGATTTGCCTCTGGTTATATTTTTAATTAACAGCTAAGCTGGGCTTGGAGTCCACGTAGTAGGACTTCAGAGTTGCAGCCCGTGGCGACTGCTCAGACCGGCTCTCACCTTGATTTCTAGATATTCCCTTCTCTTTCATGGTTTCTGCAACCTCTTCTGCTTTTAATTAAAAGAGTGAGTGGTTACCTCCGGCCCTAAAGGAAGCAGAGACATCACTGTAGTTCTTGCTAAGTGACTGTGCAAGACTTGCCTCAAATAATGTGTGAAGCACCCAACGCAGTGTCTGGCATATGTGTTCCATAAATAGTAGCCATTTTATTCTAATTCAGATAATTCTCCATTTGGTAGAATTTCAGGCTTAAAGCAAAAGACATTTGGAAGCCTCTATTCCTGACACGATTATTAATACTTACCCTGTGCCCGTCTTGGTGTTGAGTCCTGGAGATAAAAATGTGGGTAGATGCTGTCCCTGACCTCAAGGAACTTAGGAGACTTTCCTCTTATAGCTTAGGAAGGAGAAAGGCGAGAACTGGTTCTTGAGCAGGCCTCCGAAAGGTCTGCCTTCTCTGTCAGAGCTACCCCTGGCTCAGATGTTTCCAGAACCCCTAGCTGACAAGTGTATCTACGACCAGGTATTGGGTGTCCCAGACCAGCAGGAGGCAGGCCTTGCAGTCAGCTTAACCCAAAGCAGGCAGCACCTCCTGTCCCTTCTTGCCTCGTACTGTTGTCTTGGGGCCTGGGCTGACTTCCACTGACTCTCTGGGCTGCTCATTTACCCTTCTTTTCCCTTTCCATACCACAGAACAGCTCCTCCCTTGCCCATGAGCTGGTGTGGACTCGTTGGCAGCCCATGGCTCAGCAGTTGGGCACACCTTGGTGTGATATAGGGTGACCTTAAGCTCTCTGAGCCACTGCATCCTCCATGAAGCTGGGGAATGTTCTGCCTCACAGAAATGGAAACTTTTATGTACAGAAGCTATCCTGTTATATTGTATCTCATTCTGTCTTTGCGGAATGCCTCCCTTCCATGGCCTACGGGTTCTTAGAGTGGAGGGATCATGCCTTATAGTCCTCTCTCTCTCCCACTTCTGACCCATGTCTGACACAGTAGGATTCAGTCAATGTTAGTGTCCTACCTGAAGAGAGGAGAAAATTCCTTGGTTAAATACCTGTTAGATGGCAAGCCTTATACTCTGTGTTCTCATCATCACCACCATTAATACTTACAGGGCTCTCGTTGTGAGCCGGGCACTGTTCTAGGCACTTCTGTGCTTTAACTTCGTTAATTCTCACGACAGCCCTACAGAGTAGCTCCTCTTAGTATCCCCTTGACGTAGGTAAGAGAAGTGAGGCAAAAGGAGGTACAGTTCCTTGCCCCAGTCCCTCACCAATATCATTGCTCCTGTTTCTTAGTAGTGGGAACGGCAGCTTCGAGGGTTTACAAGATTTGCTCCACAGATCGCGTGGCCAATAATAGGTGGAGAAATTGACATATTACCCAGGGTTTTTTTTAACTCTAAAGACAGAATTCTTGCTGTTGTCCGGACTGCCTTCTCCAGAGAGGTTCATCTGGGCTGTCTGAGGGCTGTGCTCTTGGTGGTCGTGCTGATGGAGATCCGCACCGTGGTGTGTGTCGGAGTGTCTGTGGTAGACGTACTGGAGTACAACATCACACTCTCCTAGAGGGTCCACATTTGTAGCTTGTTGCTCATTTAGCCTGGCCGGCGATCTGCTCCAACTATAAAAAGTTAAAAGGAACATTTGCATATTAGAGATGAGCTGTTCCAGACCAGCACGCCTTCTTTCTTGGTGTAAATTTAATTTCTAAATATCAAGAAGTGATACCTGCTTACTTGGTCTACAGCCTTGTTCCTCTCTGTGTATGTTCTTCCTTTCCTCAGGTGAGCTCCTTGTAGACTAAAAAGAAGTGGGCAGTAGGGCGTGGTGTGGAGGAAGGAGCCCAGGAGCTTAGCACCACGGCAGTCACCTCATGGGCAAGTCACTGCCCCTGTCTGCTTCTAGTGTTCTCTTTGTGAAATGAAGAAGGGGACCCGAATCGTTTCCACAGCAGACCATGCAGATGTCTTACTGGCATCCTTGCTCTCCGTTGGCCGGTCCGTCCCTGGGTTTTGTAGACTCAGCTGCCTTACTCGGCTTCTAAAATGGGGGGAAGGGGAGCCCCTCTTCTCCCTCCCCCGCTCCTAAGTGCCTCGTCCACACTTGCCAGGGCTGCTACTTTGCTCAGGGGTGCAGCTTGCGTCTTGCCGCTTACTGTTCGCACGCCAGCAGCTCCCAGCTTCCACCCACAGCCCTGACCTGTCCGTGGGGCCCGAAATGTGCGTATCTAACTGCCTGCTTGACGTGTCCAAACCGAAAAAAGGCCTTTGTCTAAATTTGCTCCTCTTTCCTTTTTCCCACCTAGCACCCCATTGTAGGAACCTCAGTCTCCCACCACTGCTCACTCGTCCTTCGTATCAGTCCGCACCCGGCCCCCCTCGGTCCCCTCGGTAGCTCCTGACCCCACGTGCTTGTGTCCACCCCCAGCACCGCCCAGTCCGGCCACCGTCCTCGCTCACTCGCATGGCTGACTGGCATTGCCCCAGCCAGTCCCCTGCGTTTTCTGCACAAAACAGCCAGTGCAATGCTTCTGTCATCAGAATCAGGTCATGTCTTCCTCCATCCCTGTTAGAAACCCTTCACGAGGGCACCTGGGTGGCTCAGTTGGTTAAGCGACTGCCTTCGGCTCAGGTCATGATCCTGGAGTCCCGGGATCGAGTCCCGCATCGGGCTCCCTGCTCGGCGGGGAGTCTGCTTCTCCCTCTAACCCTCCTCCCTCTCATGCTCTCTGTCTCTCATTCTCTCTCAAATAAATAAATAAAATCTTTAAAAAAAAAAAAAAAAGAAAAACCCTTCACGGCCTTTTCTCGCTCTCTGGATAAAGATCAGACTTCCGGCCGTGGCCCACAGGCCCTAAGGTCCGGCTCCAGCCCATCTCTTGGGCTCACCTTACGTCACTTTCCCCCTTGCCCTCTCCACCGCAGCCACACAGGCCTCTCCAGCTCAGCACACACGTCTCCCACCCCCAGGAGCTTTCGCACATACTGTTCCTTCTGTCTAGAATGTTCTTCCTCTGTCTGTTTACATAGTCAATGCCCCTCTTCTTTTAGAGCTCACTTCAAACATCATTTCCTCAGAGAAACTTTCCTAGACCTGCTCCCCATGTCTAGAGCAAGTTCCTCTTGTTACATGATGATTTCACCAAGTCTGTCTTCCCACTAGACCATAAGCTCCGTGAGTTTGTTCAGCAACGCATCTTCAGGGCCCAGCACATAAGCAGTACCAGGTAGATGCTGGGAATGAGTGAATGAGTGAAGGAATGACTGACTAGGCAGAGAGGGCCATTTCCAGGCAGGTCCCTGCTGATAGGCCCGTGTTGGACTCCGTGTGTGTGCAGGCGCTAGCCTCGTCTGTTGGCCTTGGTCAGTCTTCAGCTTGCCCCAGTGTCACATCATCCCGGTAGAACCGTTGGAACAGCTCAGAATGAAAGTGCCGTTGGCTGTCGTTGGCAGCCCTGAGCTGCTCCGCGCCTGCACGCCTGGCCGCTGTGTGCCAGTTCATTAGTAAAAACCTGTTTTGGCTAAAAATCTCAGGTGCTGGATTTTACCCCACCTCCCTCCCTGCCCGAACTGGGATCTGAAGACACAGAAATCAATGGGAAACTTTGCTGCCCTTAAAAGAGCTCATAGTCAGGGATGGCAGACCCTTAACATGGCAGCGCACGGTGCAAAGTCACGCAAAGTCGCATCGTCAGCATATGAAACGGTGCGGAGGTGATGCTGATGATAAAGATGGTATTTGTTGCTGGCCTGCTCTGTGCCTCGTACTTGATTTCTCACTGGGACCCTGTGAGATGGCTACTGGTATTATCCCCATTTTACAGATACGGAAATTGAGGCTCACTGAGGTTACGTAACTTGGCCAAGACCGCTAAGATAGTTAAGTGGCAGAGCAAGGGCTCGGTAGCCGGTCCTGTCTACACCGCTGTACGACGCTGCCTCTACACAGAGGGAAATCAGTGGAGAGAGTGACGAGCTCGGCCCTGAAGAGGTCAGGAAGGGCTTCCCAGAGGGGAAACAGAAACTGGGTTCACAGGGTGAGGAGGAGTTTCCCAGGAACGCCGGCAAGAAGTGGCACATGAGGCCTAGAGGCGTATTTGATGTGCCCTGGAAAGTCTGGTGGCATGTCACAGAGGGGGTGGAGAGGACAGGTGGGAGTCGGAGGGGCCAGCTCTCTCCAGGTAAGGTAGCACACCGAGTGCCAGGCTGTGGAACTGCCAAGGGCCCTGCGAGTCAGCAGTGTCTCCACGGCTCTGCTGACCTCAGCAACCTCAGGGCTGAAGCTCTGAGATCCATGTGTCTCTCTTACGGCAGGAGAGGTGCTGAGAGGGGACCGGATTGTCAACACCCCTTTCCAGGTGCTAATGAACAGCGAAAAGAAGTGTGAGGTTCTGTGCAGCCAGTCCAACAAGCCAGTGACCCTGACCGTGGAGGAGAGCCGGCTTGTGGCCGAGCGGATCACGGAAGACTACTATGTCCACCTGTAAGTTGTCCTCTGCTCCCTGCTGGCCCCGACTTGGTGTGGGGTGGGGCACAGATGGGAGAGGCGGTCCAGGGGGACTGAGCGGGGCCTTGGGTTTCCAGCATCGCCGACAACCTGCCTGTGGCCACCCGGCTGGAGCTGTACTCTAACCGCGACGGTGATGACAAGAAGAAGGAAAAAGATGTGCAATTTGAACACGGCTACCGGCTCGGCTTCACAGATGTCAACAAGGTAGAGTGTCTCGGCGTGCTCGAAGGGCTGGGGGAGTTTCACCTGGTAAGTCACGAACCCTTGGGGCCACAGGGAAGGCGGAAATATTTAGCTCTAGGTTTATAACAAAAGGTGGGATGACCAAGGCAGGTTTCTCCTGGTGCCCCTGGGTGTGGTCTGCGAGAGTCTGTGCTTTGGGCAAGGCTCTGGCAGATGCTACACAGGAAGTGGAAGGCACAGTCCCTCAAAAAGTCAGATTCCATATTTATAAGATTAAAACAAAACAAAAAAACAAAGATGGAATTTCAGCAGTATGTAGGAGAGCTAGGTAGGATAGTGGTCAGGAGCGTGCTGGCTCCCTGGGTATTGGACCCCACCTCCACCACTCACTAGTTGTTGAGTGCCCTTGAGCCTGCCTGTTTCCTCTCTGAGCCTTTGATTCCTCACCTGTAAAATGCATGCAGTGTGCATAGCCGCCCTTTAGGGTTGTTTAAGCAGAGTAAAGCGGATGATTTGTGTGTCTGCTACTTTATAGCGCGGCCTCTGAGAAATATGCTAATAATAGCTGATAATAGCAATGATAGTAACAGTGATTCTCCTGTCTTTCTAATTTTCTAAACTGAGTGCCTTCTACTAGGGAATAAAGGACAAAACCGTTTCTTTTGAGGCATAGCCCCTGACCTCAGAGGGCTTCCGACCCCACTTGGGAAGAGAACTGCCCATGTAGGACCCTGCGTCCTAAATCCCAGTTGCCATCGGTGATGGTGCTCGTGCCGAGCTCAACGCCAGCAGAGCTCAGAAGAGCTCATTGTGCATTCAGGTTGTCACAGGGGAGGCGGGCCTTGAAAAATAGGGAGGCTTGGGCTGAGTGCGGACAGGGGTGGCATCCTAGCCGGCGTGAATGCCGGGAACGGAGCTGCACCATGGGGACTGCTCACGGGGCAGGGACGGGCTGTGAGCACATGATAGAAAGCCATGAATGCCAGGCCTAAGGGATCCGGGCTTTTATCTGGTAAAGCCCCAGGGAGCCCTGGGGGGTTTTTGAGCGGGAGTGCTGTGAGAGCAGTGCTTTTAGCAGGTTGAAACGGCTGGGCCTGCTGGACAAGGGGAGGGACCTGATACCTGGGATGATTTTCTGGTTGGTTCTCGACCGCTAGGTATTTTGTTCTCGCCATTGCTGTTTTAGATTTACCTGCACAATCACCTCTCGTTCATCCTTTACTACCACCGGGAGGACCTGGAAGAGGAACAGGAGCACACATACCGTGTCGTCCGCTTCGAGGTGATTCCCCAGAGCATCAGGCTGGAGGGTGAGTGGGGAGGTATGACCAGAGGGGCAGGGCTGGATGGGCCTGGGCTTCCACACCCAGGGTCTTCTCTCACTTGATTCTGAGATGGCTGATAGGCCACAGTGTGGCATATGGGCCCAGCCAAGGTAGGGTCCCTGCATTCCCGTGAGAGAAGGCGGTGAGCAAGGGGAGAGCTGACATTGGTTGTGTCCTGGCCTGGTGCCTTCCCAGTTTACCACCTCCCGCAACTTCCGGAAGTGTGTGGTAGTTATAGATGAGGAACTGGAGACTCAGAGAGGTTGGTGACTTGGCCGAGGACAAACAGCAACTAGGACTTGCCTGGGCCTCTAGGAAGAGCCAGCCAGCTTCCCCTCGGCTGAAGAACAAGGGGCAGGGATGCAGACAGAGCAGTCAGGCAACTGGTTTCTGTGTTTCTTCCTCTGTGTAAGTGATTGGCAGAGACGAGACTTGGCCCAGGGTCAACAGTTCTGCGGGATATCTGAGAGCCCAGCCCTATAGGTGTGATAGGAGCTGGTCCAGCTTCTCACCTGTCTGCCCTTGCTCACCCAGGGCACACTTCAGTTCAGCAGGCTTGGCCTTTGTCCACAGTGGTGGTGGGTTTCTGGCTTTTTTTTTTTTTCTTTTTTTTCTTTTTAAAGCTATGGAACCTAGTTTTCAAACAAAATCATATCCAAAAATCTCATGTAAGACATAGATCCTGTGCTCTCAGAGCATTATAGTGCCCGTCCTGGTGAGTGCCATGAGCACAGCGTCACGTTTATTGCATGATATTTTTGACATCATCTCTCCCCTCAACCGTTTCCTGGAGTTTGGAGACTCTGTCTCCTTCTCACCATTATCTCTCCAGCAGGGCCCTGGGCACAGAGTAGGTGCTTATTAAATGGTGGTTGGTTGAATGGATGGACAGATAATGGGATGAACGGAGGAATAAATGAAAAAAGAAGCATCTGGGTGATTGAGTTACTGACATGCTGGGACTTTGGGGACTGGGTGAATGAGTAAACATGATAGCAGGAGTTCGGTGGTGTTTTTCTTCTTCAGTGGGGCTGATTAAGTGAATACATGAATGCTTGAATTGAGTGAAGAGAGATCAGATGAGGGACTCAGAGCCCCTCCTCCACACCCGGCAGCTCCAAAGGCTCTTAGGAAGGTCAGGGCTCTGGGGAGGAAGTTTAATAACTTTGTTGTCTCCACTCAGACCCTGGGTTCCAGCAGCAGGCAGCCTCGAGGGCACCCCCCCAGAGCAGCCCTGGGTAGTGGCACTGGTCCCCACAGGAACAGACTGAATCTCTGTCTCTCACAGACATCAAAGCAGATGAGAAGAGTTCGTGCATCCTGCCTGAGGGTACCAACTCCTCACCCCAGGAAATTGACCCCAGCAAGGAGAATGAGCTGTACTTCACCTACTCTGTACACTGGGAGGTGAGAAGGGGCCGGAACCCATGGCAGGGGAGGAGGGTTCTGGTCTGGGCAGGAGTTGTCTAACACGAGGCCTGACTCTAAGTGCTGCTTTTCCACCCTGTCTCCCTCCCCCTCCAGGAAAGTGACATCAAATGGGCCTCTCGATGGGATACTTACCTGACCATGAGTGATGTACAGATCCACTGGTTTTCTATCATTAACTCTGTCGTGGTGGTCTTCTTCCTATCAGGTGAGAGATCTATGGGATGGGAGGTGGAGAGACAAGGGGGTGAGGGATGAAGGCCTGAGATATCACACGACTGAAGGGGGACTTCTAGGGTGTTCTTGGGGCCACATGTAGGTCAGAAACAGACATCAGGGTCTGTGCTAGGCATCAGGTGTGCAAAGGCGAACAAGATTCAGTCTCTACTCTGGAGAGCTCCCTAGGGAAAGACGGATACATCCCTTCACGCACACCTTCACTGATTGATTCAGCAAGATTTCGTTGTTGCCGGTCCGTGCAAGTGCTGGGCCACATGCTGGGGATATGGTGTTGAGCAAGCCCAGCCCCTCAAAGAGTCTCTTCTGGTGGTGGGAGAGACAGAGAAGCAGAGAAGTGGTTGAGTCCAGACAGTGATAAGTTCTATAGAGCAGATAAACAGGGTGACCAGATACACAACTCTTGAGAAAGGATGAAGGCTGCTTTAGAGAAGACCTCTCTAAGTGGGGAGGAGCCACCATTCAGAGACCCAGGGAACGACTGGTCTAGCAAAGGTCACGGCCCTGCAGTGGGACAAGCTTGGTGAGAAGCTGGCCGGCGAGCCAGGGGGAGGGTAGTGGGCAGAGGTGGAGTGAAACCGGTCGCTTCAGTGTCATATGGGAAGCAGAGATAATGCTAGGTGCTGTTTATTAAACATTTACTGAGGGGCCAGCTGCTGTGTTCATAAGCACTTCACAAACCTCTCAGTCCTTCAGGTTCCATGAGCCAAGCCTAACAAGCCTAAAATGTTAAGTTAGCTTGAAGTCCTACAACCCATTGTCTCAGCCACTATATTGGGCTGCCTGGAGAGGAAACAGGGTGCTGTGGAGGTACAAATGGGGGGCCTCTGAGCCATCTGGGGTGTGGAAAGGCAAAGATGCCTGGGGTAAGTCTTGAAGTGGGAGCGGCCGTCAGGGCAGAGTGGGGCATCGCGGGCCAAGGGAACAGGAAGCAGCCCCAGTAGAGGCATGGAGACTGTGAAGTGATGACAGAACAGCAAGCGGGGCGGCGTGGGAGGTAAGCCCAGGAGGAAGCGAGGCTGCAGAGGTCAGGAGGACCAAGACAGGGAGCAGCTGGGGCGCTGTTCTCCCTGGAATAAAAAGCAGTGTCCTTGGACTGCCCAAACCCATCCCAGTGGCTCTTTCCTTCCCCTGCCAGGGGAGTGACCCTCTGTGTGCCCACCTCTGGATAGCTGAGGTGGAGCTCTGCTCAGCAGAGGACCTGAGGCAGCCGCCTAGCCACTGCCCACCGGAGGAAGCCAGGCGTGCCAGCCGGCACTCAGCGAAACCCCAGGCGCAGGAGGGCATGCAGCCCACGAGACTCAGTTGGCAGTGCTCATGCCTCTTTCTCCCCACCCCTGTTTGTTTCAGGCATCCTGAGCATGATCATCATTCGGACCCTCCGGAAGGACATTGCCAACTATAACAAGGAGGATGACATTGTACGAGATCTTGGCTGGGGAGGGATGGACTTGGAGTGGGAGGGCAGACTAGCAGTAGGGTTCCGGGCCTACCAGACCGAGGGTCAAGAGGTGGGGTGTGTGTGCGTGCGTGTGTGTGTGTGTGTGTGTGTGTGTGTTTCATAGAGTAGTTGGAAAAGGAAAACAAATGTTTAATGACCCAGGGTGTGTGTGGTGTGCGTGTGGTGTGTGTGTGTGTGTGTGTGTGTGTGTGATAGAGTAGTTTGAAAAGGAAAAAAAATGTTTAATGACCCAAAATGATAGGGATAAGCGTTTTAATTGCTAAGCATAAAAACAATGGGAGAAATCACAGAAAGAAAACTTAATGAATATGACGTTAAAAATCTGAAAACTGGGGGCGCCTGGCTGGCTCAGTTGGTAGAGCACACAGCTCTTAATCTCAGGGTCGTGAGTTCAAGCCCTATGGTGGGTGTCAGACCTACTTTAAAAAGAAAAATCTACAAACTGTTCTGCATGTCAGAATATATAGACAAAACAGAAGAGTGCCAAACAGTATTTGTGACAAACTTGAAAAAAGAGGCAATAGTTAAAAGAACTGGTTTTAAAAAGTCCCAAGATCTCGAGTCTGAGAATGAACAAAAAATTTACTGACTAGGAACTATACATGGCTCAGAAACATGTGAAAAACCATTTTTACCTCAGGGATGGTTATCCCCCCCCCCCCCCGCCCCCCCCGCCAAATACAAATTCAAACAGTTATGAGAAGACAGTTTGGGACCTTCAAATCAGTCCAAGTGTGTTTTCATGTAGTAGTCGTTGGCAGCAAGGTTGACGGGAGCTAAGCACCTTTCCACACCACCCATGCAAGTACATTGGTAGTTTTCTGAAGAGTTATGAATTGGCTCTACACACCACGAACTATAAAATAGTTAACTTGCTTTGACCCAGTAATTCTAGAATTTTCCAAAGGAAACCATCAAAACCACAGACTTGGTCTAGAAATATTTATTATAGTTTTATTTATAATTTAAATAAACTGGATGTAGCCTGGTATTCCATAATAATGGATTGGCTATGAGATGGGCAGTATACAATGGAAAGCTGTACAGACATTAGAATATTAACTGCAAAGAGTACTTATTGGAAATGAGGAAATGCTCGTGATCAAGCATCACCTGTACTTGTACTCAGTAAATAGGGTCTGGTTCCAATTTTAGTGTTTAACAATTATATATACATATGCATATATATATATATATATATATATATAACACACACGCACACACGCACACACACACATAAAGGGCTAAAGGAAATGCATCAAAACAACGGTATCAGTAAGTGCCGGGAGTATAAACTATTGTATTTTCTCTGTCTTTCTGGGGTTTTTTAAATTTCTGAATGTTTACTTATGAGTTTTAGATCTTTTGTTCAGTCTTTCCAGATTTTTAAAAAATTTTCTACTAAAAAACATTTATTACTTTTTATTCATTTGAATATCATGCCATATGCCAAAAATTTTTTTTTCACTTTTTTATTACATAAGAGCACATATTACTTTTATAATCAGTAAAAAAAAAAAAAAATGGCTTCTAAATCTCACCACTCAAAAACTCACAGTTAACATTTCAGTGTGTTGATGTTTACATTATTTTTCCATTCATCAGGCTTGCGGAATTTGGGGAGGAGGTTTGCCTTTTATGTAGCTATAAGCCTCGCGTTTGTGCCCTCCTTTTCCATGTGACACTTCTCTGGGGAGTACTATGTCATGTCGCTTACACTCCTGTCAGAGTGGAGGCTGGTTGACACCTGAGGGACCCTCAGCCCTAGTCAGGGGGTGTGGGTCCCTGCAGGAGCTGCCTCTTGGACCCCAAGAAACAGCCTCACTTCTGACCCTCTGCTGCAGGAAGACACCATGGAAGAGTCTGGGTGGAAGCTGGTGCACGGTGACGTCTTCAGGCCCCCCCAGTACCCCATGATCCTCAGCTCCCTCCTGGGCTCAGGCATTCAGCTCTTCTGTATGATCCTCATCGTCATCTGTGAGTGGGCCTGGTGGGGCTGAGGGTGGGGTCCTGTCACCAGAGAGCACAGGCCTGAGTCTGAGAGAGGGGTGGCCTCCCCTCCTGGGGAACGGGGCACGTCAGCATCACTGGGCCAGACAGAGTCATTCATGGCAGTGGGAGGGCCGGGTCCTCTCAGCACCAGGCTCTGGTGGTTTGCTGCCCCTCAGAGCTCTCTGGCACCGCGGATCACCTACCATGTCCACTCCGTCAGCGAAGCCACACATCAGTGCTGTGAGGTTGGCCTCCCTCCGCAGTCAGGCGTTAAGTGACTTACGCAAGTCAGCACCAGGTCTTTTCTCAGAAAACAACTCCCCAAAATCCTAATATATAGTAATTATAGACAGTTCTGAAGTCAGTCTGCCTAAAAAATTTTTTTACCATTTTAACTATTTTTAATTGATATATAACACTGTGTAAGTTTAAGATGTACAGAACAACAATTTGCTGTATGTGTCTATTGTGAAATGATCACCGCAGTAAGTTTAGTTAACATTGATCACTGCACATAGTTACATAATTTTTTTTCTTGTGATAAGAACATTGAAGATCTAATCTCTTAGCAGCTGATCTGCCTAAGTTTGTATCTCAGGCTCATACCTCCAAGCTTTGTGACTTTGGACAACTCACTTCACCTCTGTGAACCTCCGTTTTCTCATCTGAGAAATGGATAACCAGCCTCCACCTCGCAGGGCTGATAAGGCAGGTGCAGTGAGCTGGCATTCAGAACGGTCTCAGCTTGGTGCCGGGCTGGTTGCAAGTGTGCTGTGGGCTGGAAGCTGCAGGGAAGATGTGGCCAGCCAGCACCCAGCAACTGCTGCTCCCCTGTGAACCCCAGCTAAGACCGGTCTTCTCCTGTAGAGAGCAAGGGAGTATGCTGTCAGGAAGGCCAAGGGAGAAGGGAGCCTCATCTAGCCTCATCTGCCCTGGGCCCTGTGGGCCAGCCTGGGATGGGGGCTGGGGCCTGGGACCCTGGCCATCAGCCACCCTGTCTGTCTCTTCTCCCCCTCCCTCCACAGTCGTGGCCATGCTCGGGATGCTGTCGCCCTCCAGCCGGGGAGCTCTCATGACCACAGCCTGCTTCCTCTTCATGTTCATGGGGTAGGTGTGTCTGAGTGGATTCCGGGGCTGGCACAGGCAGCCTGCCCTCCGACTAACAAATCCCCATGGTGTGGACCCCTGCCATTTCCTCACAGGGTGTTTGGTGGATTTTCTGCTGGCCGTCTGTACCGTACTCTGAAAGGCCATCGGTGGAAGAAAGGAGCCTTCTGTGTAAGTGTCCTAACCTCCTTCCAGTGTTGGTGTGGAGCTGAGAAGCTTCTTCCTGGGCTCCTCAGCAGTGTAGGCAGTCTGTGTGGGGGTTAGAACCAGAGGCAGAGCGGTAATGTGATAGAGTTGGGGGGGGGGGCACACACCCACGGGTAGGGAGCCCTGGGTTCTCACCATAGGCACCTTGGGACCTCTGAGGGCCCTTGCTGCTGCATCCGTAAGAAGAGCGGATTGAATTTAGGTGATTTTTAGCCTACATTGTCCGACGGTTCAAACAAGAGAAGAAACAAGATTCAGAATAACAGGATTTGACACCAAGCCTAGGTGTCAAAGTTTAAGGCCAAAAACTGATCAGCAGGGCTGCTGGAGGGACACCCTGCCCAGTGGAGCAGAGAGAACTACCTGCCAGGCCCATGTTGCTTTCAGCCCATCTTCGGGCTTTGGTGCCTACATTTCCTCTTCAGGGAAGACAACTCCTGCCCTTCTCTGTCCTCCTGGTGGTCAGGAGAGTTTTTGGCAGCAGAAAAGACCATAGAAACTGGCAGATGCCTGGGACTTGACCCTACCTCCCTGGGACTTAACCCTACCTTCCAAGGAGCCCTGACCCTGACCCTCTCCCAGACAAGTGAGGCCCCTCAGGCCCCGGGAAGCCCTTGGTGCCAGACTGGAAGAAGCCTGTAGTCCTAGCATTCTGAAACCATTCTCACTCTGTCGAAAGCTCCGGGGGAGCCCAGGGTGTCTCAGCTCTGGCTGCCACACCCCCGGCATAGAGGAAGCCCTCACTATAGAAGAGCTGCGAAGGTGACTCTTCTGGAAGAATCAAAGAAAGGCCCTGAATTGTTGATGCATCGAGCATCTTCCTCAGGCCACTTTGGGCCGAGAGCCGGGGACCTACAGAGGTGTGGAACCCGGCAACTCCCTGTGCAGCTCTTCCCTGGGAGGCCTCCCACAGATACCCACAGGACCTCCCTCCGCAGACCCCATGCCATACCCCGCCTCTCTGCCCCGCACCTGCTCCTCGCATCTGGTGGCAGCATCATTCTCCCGGAACCCCACGCCAGACCACTGGCTTGCTTCCTTACCTCCTACTCCCTTCTGCCCACCTCCTCTCAGACAACAAATGTTGAGGGTTTTCCCGCCAAATAGTCCATAAATTCCCTCCCAGCTCCAGCTCTGGCTCTAGAACTCTTGCCCAGGTTTCGGGCATTTTTGCCTCTCACCTAGACCTTTGACTGTCCTAGGCGTCCCTGGTGTCCTGCAAGACCCTGACCCTTCCCTGGTGCTCTCCCTCCGCACACCGGAGGGCATGTGCTGTGGCCCGTGGCAATGCGGACGCCCCACTGCTCCTCTCTCCAGCCTCTGTCTTCCCCTCTGCCCGGGCACACGACTCCCTCACTCCCCTCACCTCATCCTCTACGTCTTCGCTCCAGTGTCACCCTCTAGAAGCTTCCTCCCCTTCTTCCCCCATTCCGACCTCCGTGTCCTCCTTGGCACCCCGGAGGAGCCTAGGCAAGAGCCTTGTGCCTACAAGTAGTGCCATGGAGGTGGTTCTCCACTGGGGGGGTCGGTCTGCCTCACTGGAACTTTCTGCCTGTTCTCACTCCCGGTATCTATAGCACAATGTCCAGTCTGTACGTTTCATCAGATGAATGCCCTGCTATACAGCAGAGTAAAGCAGGAACATGCAGGCAGGGAGGAAATGACATCTGAGCTGGGCCTTGAAGGGGAGGGTTTCAGATGGACCGAAGCAGCCAGCAGGGCGGCCTGGGGTTCTGGAATCTCCTAGATCCCCATCCTGGCTCTGTTCTTTCTCGGTTTCCCCATCTCTCCAGTGGGGGATGGTTGTACCTATCTCTCAGGGTTGTTTTGTGGATGGAAAGAGACTACATGGCCCTTGGCACAGCATTAACACTCAGGCGACAGATACCCAGAGATGTTGATAACTCGGCATACATAGTGGCCCAGGGACAGCAACGTGCAGGAGCAGCGACTAGTTACTGGGTGTGGGAGAGCTATGGGCTAAAGGTGAAATTGGCATTGGAGGTTGAGTACCAGATTGCAGGGGGCCTCAGGCGTTGTGGTCAGTGGCCCTCCTGGATGCTCAGGCAGCCACAGCAGTGAAGGAGGCTCCTGTAGGTCTGGGGCTTTGGTTCCATGTGCCTGGGCCCCAGCCCGAGAGATTGTGACTGGATGGAATACAGCGCAGTGGGTCACGGGTTTGGCCCCTGGGGTCAGACTGCTTGGGTTTGAACCTCTCTGATCTACCCTTAACTGTATGAAGTTGGGGTGTGTATTTACCATTGCTGGGCCTCCGTGTCCTCTTCTTTATTATTTTTTTAAGATTTTATTTATTTACTTGAGAGAGAGAGAGCACAGGGGGAGAGGGAGAAGCAGACTCCCCGCTGAGCAGGGAGCCCGATGCGGGGCTCGATCCCAGGACCTCAGGATCATGACCTGAGCCAAAGGCAGACACTTAACTGACTGAGCCACCCAAGTGCCCCAGTGTCCTCTTCTTTAAAAATCCCATAGTGAGGATTAGGTGAGCTGATGTGTGTGGAGGCCAGCACCCGCCAGTCCTAAGACTCAATTAAAGCTTACCCACAACTCTAGGCAGTTTGGGTTGGGCCCCACACATAAGTGTTTTGTAAAAGTTTTATTCATTCATTCCTGTTCAGCAAATGTTTATTGAGCAGCTACTGTGTTCTAAACGCTGGGCGTACATCAGTGAACGGGGGAGCGTGGGGGGAGACACGACAACACACCCCTCCCAAGGAGCTTAAGAGTCTCTGGGGGTCAGCAGGCATTGGCCAGGTAACAGTACATAATCACAGACTGGGATGAGGGCAAGGAGTGGGCAGTTCAGGGAGTGCTTCCTGGAAGGAATTACCCTGGAGCTGGATCCTGAAGGACAAGGAGGGTTGAGAGCCTCTAGTCTGGGGGCCCCACCGGAACAGGTGGCAGCTCCCCAGCCTGGTCTCCCTTGCTTCCAGACGGCAACGCTCTACCCTGGCGTGGTTTTTGGCATCTGCTTCGTTTTGAATTGCTTCATCTGGGGAAAGCACTCATCAGGAGCAGTAAGTAAGGGGGGGCCAGCTGTGCTTGGTCACTCAGGCAGATCACTTCCTGCTGTTCTCTTCCCTTTTCTGAATCCCCGGAGTTCTGTTCCCAGCCCCAGGGCCCGAGGGCTACCCGGGGTTCCCCCCTCCCTGCTCATCCAGCTGCCCATGCCCCAGCCCTGGCCTTCCTGTGGGCTCTTGCAGACAGCTGGCCAAAGCTCACTTCTCCAAAGGGAGATTTCCACAGTCCAGGGGCCAGCTGGAGAATCTCCCTTTGCCTCAGCCAAGGGAAAACTGCCTGGTGCGAGTTTATTAGGTCAGTAGCCCAAACAAGGCTCTCCTTCCTCCTGTCCTTGCCCCTCGGCACCGGCCCCCGTGGGTTGTCCTGCCTTCAGCGCGGGGATCCTGCCGGCCCCAGTGATTGCCCTGCCCAGGACTCACTGAGAAGGACTGTGAACTTCAGCGGGGGTGGGGAGATGGGCTTTTGCTCCCTTGCAGGGCTGCAGTGGATGTGGGGCAGGCATTCGCCATCCCAGCCTTAGTGGATAGAGCCGCCTCCCCTCACCTGCAGGTGCCCATTTGTTAGAGGCTGTGGCGTGAGGCTGGGAGTCCGGGGTGCCAGAGGACTGGCTTCTTCGCAGAGTCGGGGAAGCCGCCCTCAGGAAAGAGAGTCATGCTCTTCCTCTCACTTCCTCTTTTCTACCTGTGTTCCTTCTCTCTTTTAACATTTTCCTCCCAGTTACCAACCGCTCATGATAAACATTCATTGTAGAAATTTTGGAAAGTACAGAGAAGTTGATGTAATCTTTAGTATATTTTTGTAGTCTTTTTAGCTATATTTAAAATGGAATGATGTTAACTTTAAAATTATGATGAAATAGCAAACATTTATATTGTGCTTACATTGGAGTAAGTACTATTCTAAACACTTTGCATATCTTAATTCGCTTCTTCCAGTTTGCATGATTCTTATAAAAACATAATACTGAATAGAATAGGATAAAGAAGAAAATGAAAAGTCAGCTCTAAGGGCTACATCCCGTCTGAGGAAATACTGTTAACTTCTGGGCAGAGCCCTCTGTAGGCACATAAACATAAATATTGGGATGCTTCTGTTAAAATGGAGTCCTATACATACAGTTCTATAATCTGGTTTTTTTACTTTGTAGTATATTATGGTGTTTTATTTTAACAAAATCGGGAACACACAGTTTGTGCACTTTTGTTTTTTCCCTTTTGTCTCCAGTTCACATACCACATAATTCCCCTTCATTCTGGCCTCATGTTCCCCTCATGTTCTCAGTCCTTCTTCATTCTTTCCCCAATTCCCAGCTGACAAGCTCCTCTGGGATGCCATGGTTCCTTCTCTACTTCACAGCCCAAATGGTCCTCCATCTGCCCTCCGCTTTTCCCTGGGGCTGGTGAGCCCCAGGAGGTTCTGGCCAGAAGCTTTGTGGGGGTGGGTCTGCAGGACCTTCCCCACCATGGTGGCCCTCCTTCCGTGGGACCCAGTGGGCCCACCTCCCCCTGCACAGCCCCTGGCCCTGGGCATCAGGGCCTTGTTGGGGGGTGGGGCTCATGGCGCTGTGCCCACAGGTGCCCTTCCCCACCATGGTGGCCCTGCTGTGCATGTGGTTCGGGATCTCCCTGCCCCTTGTCTACCTGGGCTACTACTTCGGCTTCCGCAAGCAGCCATATGACAACCCTGTGCGCACCAACCAGATTCCCCGGCAGATCCCTGAACAGCGGTGGTACATGAACCGATTTGTTGGGTGAGTCTCCGGTAGGGGCAAGGCCAGGGAATTCTGGAGTGGGCAAGGCCAACACTGCCCGGAGCCATTTACTTAGGAGGACATGGAACGAGTCCCCTCCCCCAGGGGCCTTGTGACTGGTGTTCTGCAGCTCCAGCAGGCTCTAGTAGACTTCATGAAAGCTTAACTCCACTCCAGGTTCAAGAGGACCAAGTTGTAACCAGACTTGGTGTTGGCCTGGGAACCAGGACAGGGAAGGGAGGGGTGGAAAAGTGCGGGTGAGACAGGTTAAGACCATCACTCGATCTAGGCAACTCACCCTACCTCTCTGTACCTCAGTTTCCCCATCAGTAAAATGGGGAGAGTGATGCCCACCTTGCCACCCTCTCAGGAGGCTGTAATGGTACGAAAGCCTGCCCGAGAACTGGAACCACCGCAGCTGCGTGAGCACTGTCCTCTGTGCCGCCTGGGAGGAGCCTGGGGCCCCCCCAGTGGCCTGGGTCTCCTCACCGCATTAACCTTCCCCTTCTGCTGCAGCATTCTCATGGCCGGGATCCTGCCCTTCGGCGCCATGTTCATTGAGCTTTTCTTCATCTTCAGCGTGAGTACCGCTTCTCCCCAGGGCTTCGTCAGCCCCAGGGGGCTGGTGGGGGTGCTCCCCCGCCCCTCCCCACACAGCCTCCCCCCGCCCCCCCACCGCTAGCCCGGTCCCCGTCCCTCCACTTAACGTGCTCTGCCTCTCACGTGACCCATGAGATTTCAGACGGGCCCTTTCACCTCTCGGGGTCCCCACTCTACCCCTCGGGATGGCTTGGAAGGATATATGAGATCGGCCACGTGAACGGGGTCTGGTGTGTGTGAAGCACTCAGGAAGTAGGGGCTGCTTCGGTAACGTTGCAGCCAGAGCTCCAGGTCCCCACACATCTTGACCTGCTACTCAGAACTCTCAGGAAAGGGGGGGATATGATTCCTAATTCTCAGGATCACTGTGAGGCTGGAGTGAGAATGTCTGTAAGAGGCACATGCTTGATTTTCAGGCAGTACTTGTTAAATAGTGGCTGTCGTGATGATGATGACTCCTGTCCCAGCCGTGCCAAGATGGAAGTTGGCGGAAGGGCTCCTCAGAGCCATCTGCGCCTGGCTGATCCAGCTCGGTGCCGTGCACCAAGCCTGTGCTGGACAAGCCCTCCCTGCTGAGACCCACTTGCCCACCCAGCCCTGCCTAGGCAAAGGGTCTGAGGATGGGTTGGCTGCCCGCGCCCCCCCCCCCCCGTCAGGAGGCCACCTTACTCTGTGTGACTCTGGGCCAATCACCAGCCTCTCTGAGCCTTGGCTTCCTCATCCGTGAATGGCCGCACTTTCGTAGGCTTACATTTGGAGATGCACATAAAGCATGGAGCACCGTGCCCAGCACGCGGGAGGCTGCCCGAGTGGAGGTGGTTGCTGTGTAATTTTGGTTGGGACGGGTGGGATTCATTATTTGCCACAAGCTGTTGAGTTCAGGCTGGGGCCCACCCACTGCAGGGTCAGCCATGCCCCAGCCCTTCCCTGAGAACAGTCTGGCTCACCCAGGGAGCAAGGGCCAGTCAGAGCCACATGCCAGGCCCACAGGCCCCAGTGGTATCATGATGGTGGCTCTCCATGCCTGCCCTGGTGGCACGTGGTGTGGCAGTCGTAACTGCGGGATGGCTTTCTGAGCACAGGCGGTGTATGCTGGGTGGAGGCAGGCCAAGCTGAAGACCAGTTGTGATGTGTCCACAGGCCATCTGGGAGAATCAGTTCTATTACCTTTTTGGCTTCCTGTTCCTTGTCTTCATCATCCTGGTGGTGTCGTGTTCACAAATCAGCATCGTCATGGTGTACTTCCAGCTCTGTGCAGAGGTGAGGGGAATGGGGTCAGGAGTTGGGGGTGAGGAGAGCTGGGTCCAGCATTGAATGGGTCAGTGAAGCGGTCTGGGTTTCCCATGTGGGCCTCCCTCCTCTGCCTATGAGGTCTTGGGCAAGTACATCACTTCACTTCACTGAGCCTCCATTTATTCAGCTGTAGACTGGAGTTAATGATCCCTACCTCACAGCATAGTCACATGAAGTCGTCATGGCAACACGAGAGGAGAAGGCTGGTAGATTTGTCAGTACAGAGTCCACTCCAGTGGTGGTTTCTCCAGTAGCTGATGCAGATTGGGTGACCTTCCCTCCCTCTGGGGACTAGCTCTTGGCAGAGACCCTTGACAAGGGCTCTGGGACAGACAGCCTGGGCTGAAACCCCGGCTCCTCTGTTAGTAGCTCTGGTTGGCAGCTGCTTAACCTGTCTGTGCCTTCCATCCCTCGTCATGTGACAGGGCAGCAATAGGGCCTGACTCGGGCCTGCTGCAAGGAGGGAATGAACTGATTCACGTGTAGCACTTAGAATAGTGCCTGGCACGTAGCTAGCGTTTGCTCAAGAAATGTTAGTTGTTGTTATTACTGTTCTTTTGCTGTAGTCCTCGGTGATTTAATTGAGATCTCATTTATGAAGAGTAAAGCTCACCCTTTTTAGTCTCCAGTTCAGTGAGTTTTTAGAAATGCGTATGGTTTTGTAACCACTGTCACAGTCCAGATATAAAACATTCCCGTCACCCCAAATATTACTGTTCTTGCCTCAAGTCCTTAGCTCCTCAGGGGACCGTGAAACTCAGGCAAGAGATTACACCTGGAGATAAGGACTACTCTGTTTCCTCTTCAGGATTACCGCTGGTGGTGGAGGAATTTCCTAGTCTCCGGGGGATCTGCATTCTACGTCCTCGTCTATGCCATCTTCTATTTTGTTAACAAGGTACTGCCCTGGGTGAGGAAGCCCCCAGCCCTTTCAGGGCAGGTTGGGGGAGAGGAGGATGCTAGGGAAAAACCCAAGTGTCAGAGTCTCTCCTGCCAAGAGTGGGGAGAACCAAAGCCATTTTGTTCTAGAACGTGCATCTTTTTAGAACAGAGAGAATCTGTGTTCTCTGTGTTTTGGGAGACAAAAGCCTGTAGGATAAGTGACAGAATATTGCATGCAAAACCTGTGAGATAGAGCCAAAGCAGAACTTAAAGGAAATCTCTCCCCTTAAAGTGCTATTCATAATAAATACGAGGGACACCTCAAGCTAGGAAAAAAAGAGCAATAATACGAAAGAATAAAGAAAGTAGCTGAGAAGGGGTTAATAAAGATACAAGCAGAAAATGCTGAAATCACCTTTAGCGCCCAAATTTAGGAACTCAGGTACACCCCCAGAGCTCACTGCCCCCAAGAGTGGCGTGAGGCAAAATATAAACAGATCCCCACTCGCCACGCCAGTTGTGGTAGGTTCACGCATGACACGTAAGCCAGGTGGGCCCCTGAGAGGAATGTAGGCTCGCTCTGGTGGGCCCCTAACCCCCAAGGCTACCACCGAAGACTGCGTCCCCCACGGTGCGCCAGTGGCCGGGTCTCCAGAACCCAAAGACAGGCAGTCCTCTGCTTGCAAGCAGGGTGTGTTCCCAAACCAGAGTCACGGGTCAGTTGGTGGAGGCTTGGGATGCCCTTTCTCAAAATGGTCAGGTTAGAAAGGATGGTGTGGATCATCCTAAGATGGTGCTCCACCGCGGCTCCCAGTTTGCTGACCGTGCCCCTCTTCTCCAGCTGTCCCAACAAGTGATCGCAGAGCTCAGGGCTCAGCAAACTCAAGCACGAGTGCCGGTGGGCCTGTTTCTGTAAAGAAAGTGTTATTGGGACACAGCCGTGCTCATTCACTTACGTCCTGTCTGCGGCTGCTCTCACGTGTTAGTGGTAACGTAGCGTAGTCGTGACAGGGGCCACATGGCCGGTGAAACGTAAGCTCTGTATAACCTGGCCCTTTGAGCAGAAGCGTGCTGACCCCCGCTGTGGGACATCCAGTGACAGGAGACACCCCCTCCTGGCATTCTCATGCTCTTTGGCTAGCTCCTGGCATTATCAGGGTCTTCCTTGATTCACACTGAAATCTGCCACCCTGTCACTTCCGTCTTTAGGCCATAGTCTCAGTCCTAGAATCATTCAGAACAAATCTGATTTCCCTCCTCTATAGCCCATATTCATCAGAACTCCTGAGGGGAAAGTGACTAAAACTGAATTCCAGCTGGCTTAAGCAAAAAGAGAATGTACCTACTGGTAGAACTGGAAGGTTTAAGAAGCTAGAGTTCTAGTGTCAGGCATGGTTAGATCCAGCATTTCAAAGGATGTGGGGGCTCTGTAGCCACGCCTGAGATCTGTGTGTTTTCTTGGCTTTAATCTGCACGTAGGATCTTGCCTCAGAGTGGAAAGATGCCAGTGGCTGCCCTAGAGTCTTCTTTTTTCAGCCTCACAGCCCTAGAGCTAAAAGAACATCTTTCCTCTACTGTCAAGTGATCAGTCCCAGGGAAGCTGCTCATCAGCCCAGGTTACATGCCATCCCTCACTGTTACTCAGGTCCAGCGGGATGGTGCACTCTCATCAACTAGCTTAGGTGTTGTATTAAAACTGACAGCCCCGGGCGCCTGGGTGGCTCAGTCGTTAAGCGTCTGCCTTCGGCTCGGGTCATGGTCCCAGGGTCCTGGGATCGAGTCCCGCATCGGGCTCCCTGCTCGGCGGGGGGCCTGCTTCTCCCTCTCCCACTCCCCCTGCTTGTGTTCCTGCTCTCGCTCTCTCTCTGTCAAATAAATAAATA